AGAGGCCGAAGAGGAAATAATCCAGCAGCAAGTTTTTTTTGGCTAAGAAGAGGAAATTTTTTTATCTACTTTTTCGATGCCAATATTAAATCCATCGATGTATTTTCAAAATATATAATAATACCACAGAACAGTTTTGAACTAAATATTGTTACATTATTCAGAGGCGGGCAGTCGTTCTATTTATAGAGGCCGTCTGACTACGACTTTGAAATATAAAAAGGAATTAGTCGGTTAAAATAGTTGAATTTTATGTTTTCATTTTTTTGGTTTTGTGCTACCATCAATTAGGTTCGATTTTATTTATTATTGGTTTGGTTTATCGATTTTCAATTTTTAAATATGCTAAATCAACAACTAAACTGATAAGATATTTTTTATCGGTTTTTGATTAATCAGGTTTTTGATTCTTAACAGTTCGATTTTCGATTTAACCAATAAGAAAGTTCTCATAAAACAAATAAATGATTTCTCCAATAATTTGACGCGATAGGATAATATTGTAACTTTACATAATTCTCATAAAAATAGTAACAATAGTAACTAACATGAAAAAAATTATACAAGTACAACACAAATAATAATGTGAATTGAAGGCTAAGGGCAAAGTTACGGTAACTAGTAAAGTACTGATATTAATATTTAATACTTATATATGAAGGGCAACAACAAAAATTATTACAGTCTTAAGGGGTTATCACTTTATTCAATAATCCAATATTTAAAAACCCAAATCAAAATCGAATTGATAACTCGATAGTTTATTTTAATAAAATCATTAAAAACCCATGCACCCAAAAACCCAATAACATTAAATAATACCCCATTTGTCCCAATTTATATGATACTTTTCATTTTTCTAGAGTCAAACAGTTTAAGTTTGACTGAAAATTTGCGCATGCAATCTTCAAATTTTTTGAAATGAATTTATATATTTGTAAACTATGTAGAAAATTTATAAGTCACAATAATTAACAATTCAAAAAATTTAAAAGATATATGAAAACTTTACCGTCAAAGATAGACTAAATTGAATCTCAAAATCCAAAAAATGTCACATAAATTAAAATGAAGGAAGTAACCATTTTTTCGATTCTATCTTTGCACACACCTATCGCTAACTTACTTTCCGGAAGAAGCAACCCCACGTTGGCTATTATTTGAGCCTTGAGGAAGTGGGCAAGCAAGAATTTAGCGGGGGCTGTGCAAACGTAGGGATTGTACCTTTCTATTATTAGAAAATGGAAAGTATGTTAAGCTGAGCAAATATTCGCTCCGTTCAATAATAGTTGTCCGCTATATTATTTTGGAATGTCCAACAATACTTGTCCACTTTATGAAATCAATGAATAAATTTACACTTAGTACCTCATTAATTATAGTCATTTCTCTATTACATTTTTTAAGATATTGTATTAATTATATTCAAAAGATGATGTAGTAAAATCATCCTTATATTTATAGTTTCTTAACAAATGTGCAAATTCAATAATGAACAAAAATTATTTGACAAAGAGAATAGTACATTTGTGATCTATTGTGAGTTTATTTGACTCAAATACTACTTTTTTCAAGTATTTGAGAAATTTGGGTATTTTGTCAAATAATTACAATTTGTTCTGCTTTTCTCGTTCTCATGTATTACTGTTAAGGAACTTCAAATTTAAAAGTCATGAATCAATAATTTACTTATTTGTTAAAGGATATTATGAACATTCAAATTTAAGGGTAATTCTCATGGATGTTTGATGGTGGAAGCTGAAAAAGAGCAACAATTAAAGCTTAGAGATCATGTAATTTTTCCTACTCCAACTTCAAACTTGGGAAGGAAAATGTGAATGGGTAACAATGATACATCCCATAGATAACAAATTAACTTCATTTCCATGTTATTTGATAGTCTTATTTTGGATATTTATGTTATCAATATTTATTTTGTGTTTAATTTTATTTCCAAGTCAGCTTTGATGGTGGTATTAAATTCAAGTTTGAGTAGCATAGGTGTGTAATATGTCGTCTCAATAGTTTAAGCATTTTAACTGACTTTTCGCAGCAACTTCAAGGTGAATTTATGTCATTTCCCTAAACCACAAATCACAGTTGATAGTACCTTTGAACCAACACACTTAAACTAATTCGAAAATCAAATCTACAATTATAATTTGTTCATATATTTTAATTGAATTTCTTACACATCAAAAAAATAAATATGAATAACGTGACTTCTAAGTAATAATAATATTTCAAGATACGTGAATAATCATTTTTTTTTTCATAAGATTTTATTTTTAAAATGCAATTAACTAAGTTTTGGTAGGTTTTCTCATTAAATGGTATAGAAATTTTAGACAAGTCCAATTGTATAAAACGTGTTAATTTATCATTAGTTTCTGTAGAAATATAGGACAGAATGTATGCAAATTTTTTCTGTATTTTCTTATGATCAATGTACAGATTTCTACCACTATTTATACACGTAATTGCTGGAAAAAAAAAGTAAAACATAATTAATGTATTTACTCTAATTCTGGATGATTTTATTCTTTACCATATATACAATTATTTTTTTTACTTTTTATAGTTGTGTAAAACTCGTGAGTTGTCAATTCCAATATCAAATCAAACGAGGCCAATAAATAGCTGGCCCAACTTGTCTGTAAGGAGTCCATTCTCCTCTTTCTTATCTTGTTTTACAAGAGTGGTGAATGCAGCCTCTTATTATCTCCAACAGTTTCACTTAAATTTTAGAGGAGAGGAAAAGAGATGGAAAGCAAAGAAATGGGCAGAGTATGTGTAACAGGAGGAACAGGATTTCTTGGATCATGGCTCATTATGAGGCTTCTTCAACATGGTTATTCTGTAAACATGACGATTCGATCTCATCCGGGTTAATTAATATATTAACTTCAATTTTCAAATATCATATAGTTTATCAATAGCTAAATTTAGTCAAAACTGAAAATACTCTATTTTTCAGATAGGAAGAGAGATATTAAGTACCTGACAAAACTAGAAGGTGCATCAGAGAGACTTCAAATTTTCAATGCTGATATGAACAAACCACAAAGTTTTACTGCAGCAATTGAAGGATGTGTGGGAGTTTTCCACGTAGCTCAGCCAATGGATATGGAAGAAGAAGAAGAAGATGTGAACGAAACGAAGGTAAAAAGTGTCATTACAGCAACATTGGCGATTGTGTTGATTCAAAGACAGTTAAGCGAGTCGTATATACTTCTAGTGCTACTGCTGTTATAATTAATGATAAAAGGCTTAGATATAGTAGATGAAAGCTCTTGGAGTGATGTTAATTTCATCAAATTTGCAAAGCCACTTTTGCCATGTTATTCAACCTGCAAGACATTGACAGAGAAAGCAGCAATTGAATTTGCAGAAAAAATTCAACTCCACTTAGTTTCTGTAGCTGCTTCTTGGATACATGGACCCTTCATAACTCCTCATTGTCCATTCACTGTTCAAATTTTTTTGGACATGATATTTGGTAACTAATTTTTTTTAATAATTCGTTGAACAAATTGATACATAGTTAATCATTTGTAACATATATAATGCTTTGTATCTCTGCCTGCTATTATGAAGTTCAATATTAAATCACGCAAAAACTTTTCATCTGTTCCAGTTATTTGCAGAAACCTTGACAAAATGTCTTCTTTCTTCCACTGCAACTGGCAAAAGACTATAATGTCTAAGAATCTATTTGCATTAATAAAAATAGTATATATAAGGCGATTCGCTTACAGATAAATCAGCTTCTGGAGTACTCATCTGCTCAGTTTTTCTATGGATCAGTTTATAAACAAATGCATCAACACTTTTTATATGTTCTTTTAACTTGGCTTCTGATCCGATATTGAGAAATCTTTTAATCTTCCACAAGATATCAACATATCCCCAAAGTGTCATTGCACTTGCATCGTCAAATGCAGCAATGAAGTTTTTGCCTTGTTCATTTGAACCACACATGCTGTCTAGCTCAACTCCAAAGGCAACCCTGAATACGGAATCTATAGTTGCTTTCATGAACAGATCCTACATCGATAAAACCAGGATTACTAGTCTGGTAAAAAAGCAATCCTTCTATGAAGTCAATTCGTGGACAAGTACTTACTTGAATGTCCACTATCTTGTTGGATTTGACAAGTTCAGACAATATATGGGCAAACTTGGCTGCATTTTTTCTGAAAACCACACTGCTAAAATCCCTCAAGACCCTTGTGGAGAACTCGTGACTCGACAACTTCCTCTGCTCCCTCCACTTATCACCATCAACTGTGAAAATTCCATCCCCTAACAGGTCCTTTAGGATGCTGTAACTATGCCATCCCTGCAGATTATTCGAAAAACTCAAGTTGGCAACCCGAAAATCACTCTGTTACATCTATTGGGAGTATCTTGTAGCCGTCTGCAACTTATTTGAGAGTTAAGGCATGGTAATTTATTGATAGACTAACAGATTCTGCGATTCATTCAGATGCTGGAAATAAGATAGTTCATGAGGAGAGTATTGCACAAGTCCATATAAGTAGACCACTAATCTATTCCCAAACCAATATGGAATTCTAACCTACTCTAACAACCCCTTCATGCCCAAGCCTAATTGGAGCCTAAAACAAGATGGACCTGACTCTAATACCATGTTAAGATATGATTCTTGGGTCTAACTCAATCCCAAAAACTAGCTCATGAGTGAAAAAATTTCCAATTCCATATAAGAAAACCACCAGTTCTTTCTCCAACAAATATGGAACTCCAACGCGCTCTAACAAAGACAAAAATTATAATGGGGCTTTTCAGAATCAATCAAATTACAACATAAAATGAAGTTCAAGAAAATGATGTACCTTGCCATAGTTGTCAAAGTTTGTTTTGAGAATGTACTCAACGTTAGCAGGGTCACAAGTATAAATCTCATTCCTGAAAGGGCTAATTATAATCTGTAAGTCTTGTACTTGCCAGCAAGATCAGTCATGTAACAGTGCAACCTGTGGAAGTTGATGAGCTGATTGAAAATGGTGCCACCGATTGGATGGTATCTCCCTTTGTCATGTAGTTTTCTGGTCAGAAGATGAACTATGAATCCACAAAAGAGAAATGAGACAATGGTGGCTGTTATGGACATAATGGAACTATGAAGAATTTCCATGGAAATTAAACTACTGCTGTGTCCTTGTGCATATTTGGCTTATAACGTATCATTTTTATACTTCATGGGATTGAGTAGAAGCTGTTCCATCTAATGCTTAGATAATTAATCCATTAGGGACCATGTCATAAAAAACAAAGACTAAGGGTAAGTTTCGTAAGGAGGAAAATATTTTGTATAAAATGTTTTTCAATTTTTCCATGTTTGGTAAGTCAAATTTTTTGATAAAATATTTCAGTGTGTATTTTTGATACGAAGGAATATGTTTTACAAGAAAATAAGTGAGTTTCTTACTATATCCTTTGGTTTTAGCTACATTCAAATTTAAAAATTGAAAGACGAAATGTTTTTATAGGTGGACATTTATGCCCTTCACAAACTAGACAAGTTCTTTCAAACTCTAGCAATTCGCTATGTCAAAACAAATGGAGAAGCTACGGAGTTGCAACAAGTAATTCAACATTGATTAAATTCATGTTATTGTATATGAATGGCCATTTCTTCATTAAATGTGGGTTGGATATAATAAATGTGGAATGTCACTTGTGGAACTTGTTTTCCCTACTTTCACTAGGAAATCCTTTTCCTTACTTTTAGCGAACTTGTTTTACTAGAGAAAATATTCTTCAAACATTTTGACTTCGGAAAAATGTTTTCCTCTGTACCTCACACACCCCGAGTTAGATTATCAACTTTGCAACTATCATGGAAATGAAAATCAGAAAGTCATTTTGATTTAATTCAGAGTGACTAACTTATATGGTCATTCAACTATCGCAAATTATCTACCGTTGAATGACCATATGAGTTATTAACTCATTCAATTCATCTTCAAGATATGGTCCCCCATGAATGTATATAGGTTTGGCTCCCGCTCCCTGTGAGTTAGGCAGCTTCTAAGCCGTCAAAATTAAAGTATACAATGTTTCTAATCCATATGTTTTATAGGGTATCATCTGCTTTATAGCCTGTTTGGCAGGACATAAAACAGCAAAGGCAAATCCAATTTAAGAGGCATTGCAAATTGCTGATGTTACGTTCCCTGTGAGTCAGGCAGCTGCTAAGCGCATAAAGTATCCAATATTATTTCTAAGCCATGTTTGTGCGATGTGTTTTATGCAGCCCTAGTGATAACTTATACGGTCCATCACACGCCACAGGACCAGGTCCTTGTCACACTTTAATGCAGTAAAAACTAAAGTACAGAATAAGAACAAAGATTTTTACGTGGAAACCTCCTTGCTCAAGGGAGGAAAAACCACGACCTGTCCAACGGGATTTTCCAACTGCTTTTCACTATCTTCAAACAACAAGTGAATATAGACTCCAACAATCATCCTTTAACAAATGCAAAGGGGTAAATTTTTATATGCTAATTCACTTTAGTGTCACTTAGCTCAGCATCCATTTGTCTTCATTATTATCTCCTCCTTTGAAGTAGTTTATGTTTATTGTTAATTTTTATTCTGAACTTATTCCCTTTTCCGAATCTTAACAGTTCCACTCACCAGATTTTGCATAGAAATACTGTTAGTTTCAGATGGCTGTTATTACTCATGAACAGTAAACTGCGATGAGATAAGTTAACGCTCAAGCAACTTTGATCTGTGAAACTTGCATGGCGTGAAAACATAAGGGAGGAAGGTAAAACAAGGAAAATATGAATTGAATAACAATGAAACCTTCCTTAGATTACAAACCTTATTTCAATCGCCCGGTTGATGTTATTTGAAAGGCTTATTTTGGATACAGATGTCATGGAATTACATTTGATGCATAGTTGGACTGATACTAATATACAGTTTAATTTATACTCTTTCTAGTGGCCCTATCTATGAAAGACATCAACATGGAGTCCCCCGTCGATCTGAAGACTAATCATTGTCCTATAGTTGACCGTGTTCTTGTCATTACTCAACTTAAAAACAAAGTAATGTAACAACACAGCCGAGAATATTTTCATCTGCCTATAAGCAAACTGCTTCACCAAGCAGATCCTCGGCCCTGCCTGTTTTATCAGCAAAAGAATGTGCTTAGCTAATTGGTTAATGTGCCAGTATTTAGGCACTAGGCAAATAAGTACAGACTTGCGTTCAAGACTTAAAAAAATGATAATTAAAGCTAAAAAAAAGATTTGACTAACCTGGAAAGCAGTAAATTTGAAGGGGCTCTCATGCCTGAAGAAACCATCGTGATCAAGCCATCTCTCTGGTTTATATTCTTCTGCATCATCACCCCATATGAATTTCATTCTTCCCATTGCATATGGTAGGTAAGAAACCATGTCTCCTTTGTTCACATTGAATCCATCTGGTAAGGTGTCATCCGAAAAGCATATTTTGGATCCTGCCTTAAAGGGAAAACCAAAAATAACAACATAAAGCATACTGTTGCGGAAGCCGAATATATAGAGAGTAATGAAATCACAACTGCTATATCTAAAGGTAGTTAATAAATAGTAGATGAGACAACAATAGAAAGAACACTAGGAATTAACGAGGTTCGGCAAACTTTTATTTTCTTTTGCCTACTCCTCGGACACAACCAACCAATATTTATTTCACTCCAAAAGAGTACAAGTGAAATACTACAAGAGAGAAAGAAGATCAAATGCCTTCGAAGATGAGAAGGCAAGTGAGAGGTGTGTTACAAATGAATTAGGAACTACCTATTTATATGAGTGAATTCTTCCTATTGATGTCATCCATGACATCACAATGTGTCAAAATGTCAAGATTTACCTTGTGAAACCATTTTATAGTTCACCTAAATTTCACCTACAAAAGATGTTATCTTGACTTTTGTACCAATGAAGAATTATCTTCCTAACTACCAAATCTTCACATTAATTCATCTTTGAATCTTGTCAAATTTAACACATACATCTACTTAGCCACTGATGTACGATAAAAGAAGTTGTTTATTACCATTGGAATTGCAGGATAGAGCCTAATAGTCTCTGTCAGTGCTGCATGAAGACATTGCATCTTTTCTAGGGCATCTTCACTCACATTGGCAGCAAAATCTGTTATATCTGTTGCATTTCTTTCTCGGTTGTTGATTCTTTAATCTCTTGTGCTACTTTCTCCTGTACATGAGGATGCTTGCATAGCACATAGATGAACCAAGAAAGGGTAATTGCTGTTGTATCTTTGCCTGCTATTATGAAGTTCAATATTATATCGCGCAAATACTTTGGATTTGTACCAGATATATGCAGAAACCTTGACAAAATGTCTTCTTTCTTCCACTGCAACTGGAAAAATATCATAATATCTAAGAATCTATCTGCATAAGTAAAAGAAGTAGCTGTAAGACGATTAACCTACAGATAATTCAGCTTCTGGTATAGTCATCTGCTCAGTTTTTCTCTGGATCAGCTTATAAACAAATGCATCAACAGTTCTTATATTGTCCCTTAACTTGGCTTCTACTCTGATATTGAGAGCTCTTTTAATCTTCCAGAAGACATCAACATATCTCCAAGTTGTCATTGCATTAGCATTGTCAAATGCATCGCCAAATTTTTTGCTCTCTTCATTTGAACCACACATGCTGTCTAGCTCAACTCCACAGGCAACTCTGAATATAGAATCTTGAGTTGATTTCATGAATAAATCCTACATTGACAAACTAGGCTCAGTTGTCTGGTGAAAACATAAAAGGGTTGTTTAATGTAGTCGAGTCATGGAATTTACTTGAATGTCAACTGTTGTGTTGGAATTGGCAGCTTCAGACAATACGTGAGCTAGCTTTGCAACATTTTTTCTAAAGACCACACTGCTGAAATCCCTCAAGACCCTCGTGGAGAACTCATGGCTCGACAACTTCCTCTGCCCCTTACACTTATCCCCATCAACTGTGAAAATATCATCCCCAAACAGGTCTTTAAGAATGCTGTAATTATACCAACCCTGCAGATTATTTGAAGTGGGAATCAGAAAATCATTCTACCATTTTGTCACACCAGTTGGGAGATTCGTATAGCCAGCTGCTACTTATTTGGGAATTGAGACAGATCCAGGGATTCATTTAGATACTTGAAATAAGATCCAATTCATCACAACCCCCAGTCTAAACTGACCTTAAGAAGAAGAGAAAAGAGCCTCAATGAACTACAACTAGATAGTTTGACCATACAACAGGAAGGAAACGCCACTAGTTTCCAATTTTCCAACTCCAAATACTTTGAATTTACCCAAGATTTAGTACTACTATAACATCTATTTACCAAAATATGCAGATTTATAAAATTCTCTTTTATCAAACAGTAACTGTAGCCCTATTGTATATATCTGTCCACAACATGAAATAAGAAACTTTGAATTATTTAATGTGACAGTGGGCTCAAGTTTTATCATATTCAATTATTATTTTTTTTGGTTACTGTTTGTTGTTCTTTTGAATACAGATTGAATAACAGTTACTAATAAGGCATTCAAGAATCAATCAGTTCCTACATAAAAAGGGTTATCTGGGATTTCAAGAACATACCCTACCTTGCCATAGTTGTCAAAGTTTGTTTTGAGAATGTACTCAACGTTAGCAGGGTCAGAAGTATAAATCTCATTCCTAAAAGGGCTGATTAACCTGTAAGTCTTGTACTTGCCAGCAAGATCAGTCATGTAATGGTGTAACCTGTGGAAGTTGATGAGCTGATTGAAAATGGTGCCACCAATTGGATGGTATCTTTTTTTTCCATTTACTTTTTTGGTTAGAAGATGAAATATGAATCCACAAAAGAGAAGTGAGAGAATGGTGGCTATTATGGAGATAATGGAGCTATGAAGAATATCCATCGAAACCACTGCCATGTCCTAGTGCATATTTTTGGCTTATAATGTTATCGCTAAAATACGCTCTTTTGACTTAATTCATCTTCATCTTCATCATCAATATTATTTTTTGGTTTTTACAACTTTCTGTGCATCAGCAATCTTGTTCTATTCTGTGCATCAGCAATTTAGATAAGCTCTTCTGTCTCAGTCTTACTTCCTGTTTGTCTTTTCCCTTTCTTTCCCCTTCAAATATCATGAGATCATCAGACTGTTGGTCCTTTTGATAAAGGATAAGTCTGAAACAAAATGCCAAAATGATTTCATGTCATGTTTGTCTGTCCTGCTTTATACGGTATGATCTGACCTAGTCAATCAAATTTAATGATCCAATGTGCTATATGTTCCACTAACAAGGGAAAAGAAAATTTAAATTGGACAACAGAGTGCTACATAATTTCAAGTCCCACTTTTTACTTGGTTATTTAAGTTCACCAAAAAAAAAAGAAACATTTTGAATATGGCATTCAAGAGTGCAACATTTCACTAATATGAAGCCATTTCGTACTTTTAAGAAGAAATCAAGAACTTGATGAAATAGTACTAAAATTTCACTTTCTTGACACAAATTTGTGAATAGTTGAACTAATAGTTCAAATGTCAAATAGACAATCATAACTTATGTATATTAGCTTTAAAGATGACATTCATAGTGCTTTCTGCATTTCAGCCTCCTACTAATCCTCTTCTTGGAACTGCATGAACTGGAAGCCCTTCATTGATGTGGAGTGTAAACATGGTTCTGTAGGTTACTACTTTCATCTCATCGGATAACTTGAACCTGAAGAAATGGAGAAGAGCCATTGCTAAAATCTTCATTTGCTTGTAAGCGAAATCTTTGCCTAGACATATTCGTGGACCAGCCTGTGAATCAAGAAAGCAAAGAACTTAGAGAAAAGACTATTAAAATTTTCATCGGTCGTCCCTTCTTTGGGACAGATGTTTAGTAAATGATCTTCTTTTTTTATTTCTCTTTGAATTTATGGACCTTTTAGATCATGATCTAAAGATCCCCTTTGAGCAAACTGAGTATCTTATGAGAAAACGTTAGACCGTAGTCTAAAATATTGTAAGTTATCACAACCATTAGATGATAGTCTGATATTTTGTGTGTAAGCTCGAGCAAACATTAGGCTCGAGTGGAACATTTTCCAAAAGGTAATTTCTCAAGGGTTATGTTTCTGTAACAGCTTAACTTCTTTTAGGTCTCTACTAAAACTTGACATTTTTGAGAATAATCTCTTATTTTTTGCAATATTGCTTTCCAAAAGATGCAGTGCCTCAACAATAACTACCTGTAACTCCTTTGTTTTGATGATCCTAACAAACAATGGGACCTGGTCCCATGAGTTGAGCATATACTCTAGTCAAATGGGGAACAACTGTAAGGCTGCCAACCTTGTCATCGCTGGTGAGCACAGGAAAAGAGGATAGAGCCCTCAGCCAATGGGAGGACACTAGGTTGTTTCGGTCAGAGGATAATATACCTTTGTTGACATGAAACTACCTAGTTTCGAACATCCAAGTTTCTGAGTGAAAAAGGTGTCTTTTGTTTCTCAAGAAAAACAACAAGCTCTCGTGAACTGAAAGAGACCTGATAGAGTTATCAAGTGTGTCTTCTGCTGTTCATCAGAAAGTTTGTAAACTTTGAGTCAACTTGTAAGATCCATTCCTAATCTATAAAGGGATAGATCGTGTCTTTATCATTCTAGCCAACAATGAGCATAGTTAGAGTTAACTATGTAATATGTGATTGAAGTCTATATTAACTAGACTTAGTTCGATATAGTGGGCAATAGAGTTATTGCTTTGGCTCTTTCTGTAACAGAGGTGTTACAGGTTATAGGATTAAGAGTTTAATCCTTGTATGATTGTTGGAGACTGTATTCACTTGTTGCTAGAAGATAGTAAAGACTAGTTAGAAATTTTGTGGGACAAGTTGTGGTTTTTCCTCCCTTGAACAAGGAGGTTTCCACGTAAACATCCATGTTATTTTTGTTCTGTATTTTACCTTTTACTGCATAAAGGTGTGTAACGGACCTGGTCCAGTGGTGTGTGATGGACTCGTATAAGCTATCACTACCAATATAGGAGTCACCAAGTATGGAGGCTTAAAACATACATGAAATGCTATGAATTTGAATGGTGACTCTGGCTGGAAAATCCCATCTTTCAACCATCTTTCAGGTCGGAAATCTTCAGCATCATTCCCCCAAATATAAGGCATTCTCCCCATTGCATAGGACACATAATTGACTTCATCCCCCTTTCTGATGTGAAAGCCATCAGGAAGAACATCGTCTGCATCTGCACATCTGCCATCCTGAATATTAACAAATAACATATTGCATGTGTCAAATGGGAGAGTAGAAATGATAAGAGTTTAGTTTCAATTTTGAGAAAAATTGCAGTTTCTTGGACAAAAATTGTACCACTGGGACTGCAGGGTATAGCCTCAAGGTTTCTGTCAACGCTGCATGAAGATAATGTATTTTCTCGAGGACTTCTTCTGTAATACTTGCTACAAAATCTTCCAAATGTTCCTTATCCTTCATGTTATTACCAATAACTTTTGTAATTTCCTCAACAACCTTTTCTTGTATTAAGGGGTTCTTGCAAAGCATGTAAAAGAACCATGAAAGAGTATTAGCAGTACTGTCTTTGCCAGCAAGCATAAAATTCAGTATTATATCTCTGAGATACTGATCAGTCATTTTCTCTGGATCCTTCTTGCTCTCTACCAGAAACCTTGACAGTATATCCTCCTTATCAATCTTGCAGAACAGACAAAACATTCATAACAATGATAGAGTCAAAAAGATTATGTACTTTTGAGGATGTAAATGTACAGGTCTGGCATTCCTAACACATTAATAATCTGAAATTAAGACTTACGGAATCTTGTTTCACTTCTAGCTGTTTGCGCCTTGATCTAATCAGTTCATCAACAAATTCATGGATGAATTTGATGTTCTTTTTTAGGAGAGCTTCAGAGCCGATATTGAAGTATCTCTTAAGCTTCCAAAAGGGATCGACGTAACGCCAATATATCAATTCATTAGAATCATCAAAGGCCTTGATGAAACTGTTATCATCTCCTCCTGATCCATCCAGACAGTTTAAATCAACTCCAAAGCCAACTTTGAATATTGAATCCAGGGAACATCTCATTAGCAGTTCCTACAAGTATGGTGCATATAAAGTTTTGTGATAACAACTGACTGTTGAAACAGTACTAATAGTATTAAGTTGTTTAGGGACTGTTAACTTTGAGGGGAAGTGCTAAAAGAATTGTTCAATGACTTACTTGAATATCAAAAACTTGGTTGGAGTTATAGAATTGAAAAACTTTTCTGACCAATTTGGCTGCTCTTTTTCTGAAAACTGTGCAGCTAAAGTCTCTCAAGACCCTAGCTGAGAACTCCAGGCTTGCAAGCTTTCTCTGCTGCTTCCATTTCTCACCATCCACAGCAAAAATCCCTTTTCCAAACAAATCCATTATTATCTCTTCATTACGCTTGCCTTTAGAATACTTGCCAAACTTTGTCTTAAGAATGTGCTCAACATTTCTTGAATCAGTGGTGCATATTATGCTCTCGTCTGGAGCTAGAAGTCGGGAGGTAGGAATTTTCTTGGCGACTTCTGTTTGATAATCATAAAGTCTTTTGAAGTAGAAGAGTTGGTGAAACACAGTTCCTACCACTGGTGCAGATTTGGGGTTTCCGATTGACTTGCCAGCATAGATCCTTAGTATTAAAACTAAGAAGGAAGTCAAAGAAATGACACAGAGAGTTCCTATACAGGTGAATATGGTATAGAGGACATCCATTTTTTTTTCTAGTGTGGAGAGGTGACAACCATCTATTTAAAACTCAGCCTTATAGTACTGAAAATCTTGTAGATACTAGAGAGGATATGCCCAAGAAGATTCACCAATTTTTTTTCTTAGTAGATTTATCAAACAGTGTTCTTGGAGGGAACTGTTAATTTGGAATCTTGCTGGATTGGACTGGGAAATATTAATCCTAGTCACATCATAGAAAATGAATTGAAAGAAACTTACAGAATAAAGAAAAGAACATGTCCTTATCACGTATACCGTAAGGTTTATCTCGCCTGCAACTGCCTCTCCTGTTTTGGCTTGCTTGTCCTCATATCACCAATTGGCATGCCCTGTTATCTCTATGCTTTATTGATTACTATAATTAACCTGTCTAACAAGAATATACATAAACTAATCAAGAATCATGCATAGTCATTACAAAAATGTTTCTGTTGTAGACTTTTCTCAAGGTAACATTTAGGAATTAAGGCATAGTTGATTGATTGATCGAGAACTGCATATAAGGAGCACATGTAGATTCAATTGCAATTTTCTATGTATCAGAAACTTTTACTCAATTCTTTGTTTTATTGTTAAAGCTTTAGGCTAGCTCTTTCTCTCTCTCTCTTTTTCCTCTGAAACAAGTAAAAGTCTGAAGCTGATATTAGTTCCCTGTGAGTTAGAGGCAGCTTCTGTGCTTCAATTTTCCTATGCCATATTTTTATTTTTTTTGGTAAGTAAACATTTTATTTACCAAGTAAACGTTACAAATCAAAAAGTAGCCGGTATGGACATAAGCTCCATCCTTGCTAAACACAGTTCTCACATCTGCTAACTATCTCTATGGGTAAAAATTTAAAGTGCTTAATCTAGTAGCTATTCTTGGATACCTAATGCCTCTTCCATGTATCTCCTGAATTATATGCCTGATCAAGTAGCTTACTGACTGCTGCTTGTGTTGAAAAATTCTGGTATTGCGCTCTAGCCATAAATGATAAATTGTGTTTGCCATTGCCATTCTATATACAAGGGACTTGTTGCTTCTCCCTTTCATGTAATGCACTGCCCAATTTATCTCACTGGTCCAGTTCATTGCATTTCTTGTTATTCCCTGCCAACGTAGTATACTCCTCCACACCTCTGCTGCATATGCACATTGAAAAAATATGTGATCATGATCTTCATCTACTAATTGGCATAGGGGACAAGTTAGTACTTGAATGATTCCCCACTTTGCCAATCTATCTTTGGTCGCAAGTCTTCTTTTCACTGCCAAATACATGATGAACAACCACTTAGGGGCACCAAAATTTGTCCACACTAGTGATCTCCATTCTACCTTCTCCTTTGTACCTCTCATCTGCCAATACACTTTACTTATGTTGTACTGTTTCATATTATTCATATCCTCCTCAGTAAATCCTGCCTCTTGTAAATATTTTGCAGCCTTTAATATCTTCTGTACCACCCAAGAAGCTTGTTGAGCTTGGATATTCCATATACCTTTTTTCCCATAGTAACTATGTATCCATACAACCCATAGTTTATCCTTTTTCTTGCTTAAATTCCACAATAACTTGCCAACTGCTGCTTTATTCCATGTATATATATCAAGGAAATTCAATCCTCCACTTGCTTTTGGCCAACACATCTTGTCCCATGCCACTAATGCTTTCTTTGAAGTCTCAATGCTTCCTGTCCATAAAAATTTTCTGCACATATTTTCCACTGTTTGTATCACTTTCTTTGGAAGAGCAAATATCTGAGCCCAAAACATTTGTATTGCATACAACACACTTTTGATAAGTTGAGCTCTACCTGCATATGATAGAAACTTTGTTGTCCAACTTGTAATCCTGCTTAACATCCTGTCCAGCAAAGGTTTACATTGTACAATGGAAATCCTTTTAGTACTTAAGGGCACTCCAAGGTACCTAAAAGGTAGTTCACCTTTCACATATTGTAGCTCCTGCAGAATCTCCTCTTGATGTTGTTTATTAACTCCTCCAAAATAGACACTACTCTTTTCTTCATTTGCAACCAGACCTGAAGCTTTAGAGAACATCATAAAACAATTTCTAATACATTTCACTGATTTGATATCACCTCTACAAAACATTAGCAGATCATCAGCAAAACTCAACTGCACTATGTTCTGTTTTTTGCATCTAGGATGATAGTGGAAATCCTGATTTTTCTGCAAGTTCTTTAAAATTCTAGTCAAGTAATCCATGGCTAGCACAAATAGGTAAGGAGACATTGGATCTCCTTGTCTCACTCCCCTCTTGGCCTTAAAAGGAGTTGTGCTATGTCCATTTATCTGGATAGAGTAAGTGACTGTAGTAACACATTGCATGATCCACTGAATGACTTTGGCTGGCATTTGAAGCTCCTCCAGAATCTGTTCCAAGAATGACCATTCCAAGGAATCATATGCTTTCCTCATATCTACTTTCACCATACATCTTCTTGAAATTCCTTGTCTACCATACCCTTTAATCAATTCATGACTCAATATCACATTATCATTCAAAGCCCTCCCTGGTACAAAAGCTGACTGATTTGGATCCACTAGTGTTTCCATAACAGGTTTTAACCTTGCAGTGATGACTTTAGCTATGATTTTGTATAATGTTGAGCAACATGATATAGGCCTATATTCACTAATTCTGGTTGGATTCTGCACCTTAGGAATGAGAGTTACATTTGTACAATTGATTGCCTGGTACATTTCCCCTGTATTAAAGAATTCTAGGACAGCATTAATTACCTCCTCTCCTACAACTGGCCAAGCTTTCTTGAAAAAAACAGCATTGAGTCCATCCTTCCCTGGAGCTTTTAGATCATTAATTCCCTGCAAAGCAGCTTCCACCTCCTCTTTTGTAACTGGAGCTGCTAACTTCAATTGTTGTTCTCTATTCAACTTCCCACCTTCCTTCATTATTTGCTTATCCACACTAGGCAACCTATATGCATTCTGACCAAGCAGTTCCTGATAAAATGTAATAGCTTCCTTTTCAATTTCTTCTTGAGAATACACACTGATACCTGCAGCAGTTGTAAGATTAGTTATAGTATTCTGTGCCAGCCTATTCTTCATGTAAGCAAAGAAATAACTTGTGTTTGCATCTCCTAGATATAACCATTGCACCCCTGACTTTTGTCTCATAGCACTCTCCTCAATTAGACTCCATTTCTCTAGTTGTTGTTTCAGTGCCTTCTCTTGGTCCTTTTTATCGTTCACTTGCCTGTAATCTATCATGTCATGTTGCATTTGATGTAGCTGTGTTCTAATGGTCTGAATCCTGTCCCTAACTCCCCTGAATTCAGTATTATTCAACTCTTTAATAGCTCTGATGACTCTTTTGAGTTTCTTCCAGATAACTTCCATGCTCCCATTTGTCTCTCCTTGCCATGCTTGCTTTACTATTGGTAGGAACCTGGTATGAATTGCAGTTAAAGAATCTAAAAGCTCTATACTTCTTTTGGCTCCTCTTTTCTAGTGCAATCTTCAAAGGAGAATGATCAGATATCCCTGGTCTGAGTATATGCACCTCCATAATTGGCATTTGTATCATCCATTCAGCATTCACTAAAGCCCTGTCTATCCTGCTGCAAGTATGCCCATTAGTCCAGGTGTATGTGCCCCCAACTGTTTTCATCTCCTGCAAACCAGTGTCTATTATGAAATCATTGAAGTCTTTAACCTCTATATCTTGTACTTGACTACCTTGCGGTCTATCTTCAGCTTGTAACACTGCATTATAATCCCCCATGCACAGCAAGGGTCCTTGAGCTGTGGCAATCAATCTCCTAAGGTCCTCCCACATTATCAGTCTATCTTTAATTGTATGTAGCCCATACACTGCCACAAACATAAATTCCAAACCACTTCCATTAATCCTTATGTTTGTTTGTATGTATTGATCAGACTTACTTCCCACTACACAATCCACAGACTTAGTGTAACACCCCGTATTCAAAATAGACAAAAATGCAGATTTTGAGAAGTTGCAGGTGCAACTTACGGTCACCATCCACGGTCCGTAGATCAGACCACGGCCCGTGCTGGTGGTCCGTGGTTCGCCACTGCAACCCCTCCCCAGCCAGCTCAGAAAATTGGTTAAGTCTCGACTCACGGACAGACCCACGGTCCGTAGATCAGACCACGGTCCGTGGTCTGTGTCCGTGGATCAAGACCTCCTTTACCCAGCCTCTGACATGAACTACGGTTGACCAGCACGGACCGTCGTTCGATCCACGGTCCGTAGGTCTGACCGTAGATCGAAGGATAGCAGCCAGTTAGCTGAAAATTCTGATGGGTCAACTTCAGATGGTCATAACTTTTAGCACAAAATGAATTATGTGTCCCATAACCTATTATTAGATAGATAATTTAATTATCTTTTCAACGCCACCGAGTTTGCTAAATTCCGACCTCCGAGTAAAAAGTTATTCCCATTTTAGTGAAGACCTGTTGGGCAGACTCGACCTACGGACCCAATCGACGGACCGTCAGTCAGGTCCGTCAGTCACTCCGACAACAGCTAATTTAAGGGTCTTTTGGTCTTTTCCTATTTCGTTTAACCCCTAAGATACGTCGTTTAGACCCTAAATCATGAGATTTTAATCAGTTTAAACCTAGAAACATAACTAGAACTTACCTAAGTCAAATCATTAATCAAAACTTAGAAAATTAGAAGCAAGAAGGGAGAAAAAGGTCAAGAACCTTAGTTCAAGAACTCAGCAAGGTTCCTTCAGTTCCAGCCCCGAAATCGAAAGATTTCTCCGTGGAATTCGTCACCAGGTATGTGGGATTTCACTAGTGGGTTCTTTTCGCCCATTAGGTCCCTAGAATTCAGTCAGATTCTTGATTCCATGATTATGAACAAACCTAAGGTTTCTAGAATTATAGCAAATCACCATGAATTAGTTATTTAAATGTTCCAAATCAGATTATCATGTTATTGCTCAGTTTATCGCATGAATTTCAGAACCCTAGCTATGTATTTCTTTAGTTCTTGAATTACACATGCTAGGTCAGATATTTCAGTATTCAGTTTTACATGCCTCAGTTT